CCCCCAAAAAAAAATATGTCACATACACCTAAGATAATTCTGTGATAATTATCCATGTATATCATGGCAATTACAAATAGGACCATCTACTGTAAAGTATGTTGCTATTCTGTTAATATTCTGCTTTTGTAGTAACTAAAACAAATATTTTTGTTAAGTAAATTGTTCTCCTGTAGTCTTGAAGCAAGAAACTCTGCTTTCTCTTTAGACAGTCTATATATGATAGGTCTCTAACAAGGTAGGTCTATATGATAGGTCTCTAACAAGATCATTGAATTGTTCTTGAATCAACATTTTTAGCTCAAACTTTTTATCTTCTAGTGTAATCAGGATCTGCAAACAATCTAGGATTGCCACCAGTTGCACTTTCATTACTATCCACTTCATCTTCGATGAAATCTATACCATTGTCTGGAGGAATCGGAATAGGAATTTCTTCACAATGTTTCACTGGCCTACTTTTTTACACAAAAACCTGTGTGTTTGCATATATGCTTTTATCATAAAAACTGATATTATCACATATTGTCATGACATCATTTTATCAATATTATAAGACAATAATGTGTTTTAATGTTTGTTATATGATATTAGTATAGAACTTCATATAAAATTCAAACTAAAAACAAACAAGAAAAAGTTAAACTGTTATATATGCAAAGACTAGATGAAAGATAATGATGGTATTTTTTATCCAATCATAACATTAACAAATAAACAAAAAGCTGTATATTAAGGTAACTCACTTTTAACAAATACTATACGTGCTACAAAAATTCTGCAGTTTTTAAATCAGCGTTAAAAATTGTATCCAGCCTACCCAAATTATCTTTGTTCACCTGTGTTTTCAGTTTTAACTTTTTAAAGTTCAGTTATGAATTTTTTTTTAATGAATTTATTATTAGGTGCCATTGATAGCGTTGGTGGTGGCGCAGTAAAACTAGTTGAAGGTGTCATTAATGGAAGTTGGCAGGATATGATTGTTGGTGCTCTTGGTATTATTGGTGGTTTAGCATCTTTAGCTGGTCCAGTTGGAGCTATTATTTCATCTGTTTTGAGTGTGATATCAATGTTGTTTGGGCTGTTTGGAGGAGAACAAAGTAATGTTTATGTGTTGCTTATTTTATAACTATTTTAGTTTATGTTAAATAAAATTGCAAATTGAAAATAAATTTAAGTGATGTTGACAATTTAAAGTTAATTATTTAAAAATTTTGCGTAAACTTATTTTTGTTTTTTGTTTATTTAATAACTATTAAACAATGAATTTTTAAAATGATTATATTTCTTTGTTATTTGTTTTTTAAAATAATCTTTTACTTAACATAATTATCTATTGTTTGCTTTTTATTTAATTAGTAAACTTGTTTTTATGTGAGGGGGCATTTGGTTATGTACGAATTTTGTTAAACGTTTATTAGCATACTTATGTTTATAACATACATGTTTATAAATAAAACTTATGTAACAAGAACTTTTATGATATTGAATTAAAAAATTTTGATAATCAACATTAAACTTGATTGATTTGAATTAATTATGAGCTGGATAAACTTTGGAGCTAAAAAAATTAAGATAGATATATTTGTTATATATTTTAAAAATTAAGATAGATATATTTGTTATATATTTTAAGAAAGTTTTAAAATTAAATTTTATAAATTATTATTGCCTATAGGCCTCGCTCATAATTTATACAGTAATACTTTTGTAAACAGTTAATCATAAGCACTTACAACAGGATAGAAAAAATTAATTGATTTGAAACTGCATATAAATAAACAAAAATTGTGGAATGAAACTATAAATTAACTATGATGAAAAGTTTAAACCTAAAGTTTTTTGTTTTTTTTTTAAGAAAATGCTTGAAGTTTTGGAATTTTTAAGTAAAAAAAAAATTTCTTAAGGTTAGATACTTTTTCTCATAGTACTTTTTATATATACCTTCACTCCTTGATTTGTGTTTTATCCCCAACTCTTGTTTGTGTTCAGTTTTCATATTTATTAACTTGTATGGTTCCGTCCAATGATCTCTAAATCTTTAATCTCATACTTCTTCATTGGACTTTGCACTAATTACTACTACCCTAAAGTTGACTGGGATTCTTTTTGTGATTTTATTTGTGATGGTCCTTGAGCTGATGTCTTTTTTCTCTCCACTGACCACTGATAAATGCTTCTCCTATGTAATCTCTTAGATCCATTTTGGAATGGAAACTTTTATTCCTTCTTATTAGTTCCAAGTCATATCTCATTATACTCCGTGGTTTTCAACTTCTTGTGTAGTTGCTATTTAATTTAATTCATCTTTTTCATCTTTTTCAAAAGAACAACTCTCTTGAGAGCAAATGGCTATTTATTATTGCAATAAATCGATGTAAAAAGATGCTGTCTCATGCTGAGCTCCATTATTTTCAGTTCATTAAATTGAAAATCTTCAACAGCATCATTAACAATGTAGGTCTAACATTTCTTCTTGTAAAGGGTTTCACTTCTGCTACAGCATGGAGCTCTCAGTGGATGGTAAACTTTTTTTCAGTTAAATTTTTTAAAGTTCAAATTTTTTCAGTTAATTGTTAACACAACAATTTAGTTCTTTCTATATTTATGAACGGTAATCTACTCAATGAGTCATTTAACTTTCATCTTAACTTTCATTTAACTTTCATCTTCTAGTATTAACTCTTTCTTCCTATCTTTTTTTGAAATCATACATCAAATCAATTGCAAAATTAGCATCTGCTAAGGTTTTATCTTTTTATTGTGCTTGCCACTTTCTTACTTCGGACAAGGATGGACACTGTTGTCATATCTGGAGCAGATCTTTAAATAGTGTCATTTCTTATTTAGACAAGTTGCAAAAACACATTATAATCATAATTAGACCTGCTCTTGCAGCCAACATTCAACCATTGTCATATCATTGTAATTTTGCGTCTCTTTCTCTTTTTAATAAATACTTTAATTGGTACTGCTCTAAAGAGGTAGCCTTATTTGTTCCTTTTATTAAAATTTATTCTCTTGTTACTTGTCATTCATTTAAGTCTCATCTTTAAATTGAGACTGTTTCTCTTGTATTAACTTCCAACTCTAATAGTGGTTGCATGCAGCTTTGTTGGAAATGAAGATGTTTAAAAAAAAAGAAACACTTAATAGTGGTTGCTTGCAGCCTCGATAAAAAAACATAAACAAAAAAAAAAAAAACTATAATGTAATTTAAATTATAATGTAAATTAAAATTTGTAATGTAAAGTTATGCAATGATGGCTATAATATTATGTTACAATATATATATTGTAATAATAAATATTCTTTGATCAACACCCCATCCCATCTTGAGTCTAATTACTTAATGTCAGACAATCAATACTGTTCAATCCTCTGGCTCTACGGCTGACTTGCCAACTGCTGTGACTGAATAATTTTATTTTGTATTAGATGGAGGCTAAGAGGCTAGGGATATTGCTCTTGACATGTCTAAAGCTTTCAACATTTGGCATGCTGGTCTTATCCATAAAGTTGTTTCATATGGTGTATCAGGGATTTAGTTTGGCTTGCAGTGGCTTGTAAATTTTAACTCCAACAAAACTGCAAACAACTATTGCAATATTGTTGACATTCTGTTAATGAAAAGTTCTCACTGAGTCCTCTTCTTTATGTCATCTTGGATTATTGTTTACAATGGATTGCAATGTTAGCATCAGCTAAGGTCTAAGCTCTAAGGTCTACAAAGCTACAAAGCTCTTATTTATCCCTGTATGGAATACTGTTGTCATATTTGGGCTAGTTCTTCTTATATGCTCTTATATGCTTTTTTTCTAGACAATGTTCATAAACTCATTGTAAATGTAGTAGGACCTGCTCTATCTGCTAAGCTTTGTCTCTTTTCCATCATCCTAAAGTTTTATATTTTTATCTTTTCTACAAATGCTATCATGGTTGCTGCTCAAAGGAGTTATCATTTCTAGTTCCATAAACTTAAACTCATTCTCACTTGACTTGTCATTCAGCAAAGCCTTATTCATTTATTGTAGCTGTCCCTGCATGGTCTAAAAAATTTTATTCATCTAGTTTTTTCCCCTGCTCTTCAACCCTTTGGATCTCTCTCCCATCTTCATGTTTTCCTGACTTATACAACATACAACTTCTAAAGGCTTCTGTTAACGGTTTCCTTGCTCTATAGCTTTATTCTTTTTTTTCCAAGTAACTCCCAACTTAAAAGTTGTTGTTTGCAGCCTTGTTGGGAGTTAATCAGAATTAAAAAAAAAAATTATTTGTATAATTTTACCTACATATTAATTTTTTTATTATTTAAAATTATATTTAAAAAAAAATCTTTTCAGAGGCAGAAGAAAGTCAAGAATCAATGTTAAAACGTGTAATTAATGAAGCACTAACCAATGCACGTGCTGAGGAGCTAAAAGCTGACGGTGAAGGTTTAAAAAAAATGATGCTATCTATTCGTAACTCGATTAACCAGTTTCGTGAATCAGGAGTAACTGAAGACCAAGCTAATGAATTGTATACTCAAGTTTTCACGGTTTGTTTTTATATTTTTTAATAAACGTCTACACAGTTCAGATTATTTGATGGGTTTTTATATCTCAGTAGTCTGTAATGGCTCCTTATGTGTATTCTTAATCAGTTGTTTACATTAGATTTCTTTTTTTTTTTTATCATAAAGACATTGATTTAGCAACATTATTATATAGATAAGTTTATTTAAACTGTTATAAGTCTAAAATTTTTTATATTTATGTATATATTATAAAATACCTGTGATAAAAAATTTAGAACAAATTAAAATGTTGAGTGTTAAAGCTTTTATGCGTATTCTTCTTACCTAAAAACTCATATTTAAGAGCTTTTACAATCCACTTACAAAGTTGTTCTAAATTTAAATTTTTACATATCACACAGTCTTGGACATAAATGGCATGCGATTGCACGCTGTAACTGACCACTCGTGTAATTTTTTGTTTTTACAATTCGACCACAGCTGTTTTTGTTTTAAATTTAAATGCAATAAAAAAATCGTTACCTTATCAATAACTTTTAATCGTTGATCTTTTATAAAGTTTTTATTTTACGTGAAGAAAATAAATTAAAAATTAATTATAATGATCATTTGAAATAAAGGCATTTTGTTTAAATTAGACTTCATATATAAATTTATTTTTGGAGGCATGTATTTTTATAATAAATTTAAACATTTGAAACTATTTTTCAAGGTCTTTTTAAAAATCTTTTTAAAGATTTTTTTTTAAGTTATTTTAACTAATAAATAAGTTAAATCTTCTTCTTGTTGCAATGCAATGATTTAATTGTTTTTTCTGTTTGTTTCTAATTTTACAAAGAATTGTTTAAAAGCTTTTTTTTTTAAATTGACTTACTAATGAAACAATTAAAAATTACTATTTTAATGAGTACTCTATTATTTAAAAAATTTTTTTTGCAACTTTTTGAAAAAAATGTTTATACAATTTAAAATTATTATATTTTTTTTTTTTCAAAAAATTAATTTCTCATGACAAAAATTCAATTAAAATTTGTTCATTTATTAAACAATCATAAGAAGTAATTTATAAAAACTTTAAATAAAACATTTCAAAAGATCATTTTTAAAGTAAATTATTTCAAGTGCAATTAAAAAGGTAACAAAAAGTAATTTTCGCTTCGAATTTTTTTGAGTTTTATTTTAAAACTTATATAGTGTCTTATTTGTAAAGGATTGTTTTTGTTTTTTCTGTAGTGTTTTTTATTTTTTTTTACTAGTTTAAGTTTAGCTTAACGTTTCTTTTTTCAGCGCATTTCTGAAATATTTAAATCATTAAAACATATAAACACTCGTGGTTAAGTTGTCAATAAAAAAAAATTATTTGCATGGTCAGCAATTGCGTTCGATCGCACACCATTCCTGTCCAAGCCTGATCACAAGTATTCTATAACACAAACATATAAACATTAAATAATTAAGACTTCAAATAGTTAAAATAAACTTATATAAAGCTAAATCAATGTCTTTATTTTGAAAAAATAAAATAAATTTTAAACTGCTTCTTTCAAGGATGCTTTCTTAATTTATTTGTGTAATTAGATTTTTTTTCATTAATTCTGCGCATAAGGAACCATGACATACTATTGAGTAGGTGTACGCACAAATTTATTGGAACTGTGAAGATGTGTATTGTTTAAAGGATTATATCATTGAGCACATATAAAAAATTAAAGCTTTTTTTTTTGTTTTTGCCATGGGCCTAACTACAGCTGGGGATTTAACTTATTTTCCCATTCTGCAACCTTCTTGATATTGTTTAATTTCAAAACAAACAAACAAAAAAAGTTTTCAAAGCCAAAACTAAAGAAAAAAAAGTTTGACTGACAAGACAAAACTTTACAGAAAAAAACCATATAAAAATTTACCAAGGATTTGTTGGTGTTAACGCTTAAGATTTTGCTTGGGATTATTTTGCCTCTGCTTGCAGATTTTTGTTATTAATTTATTCAAAAGCTAAATGCAGCTAAACAAATCTGTTTAATTTTTTATTCTTAATCTCTAGCACAAATAGTCAACATTTCAACATGCTTTCCAGACAATCTGAATCATTTACCTTCTCTACTCGACCTATGTCTTGTTTCTGATCCTAGTAAGTGCTCAGTTTCTCCACATTCACCCTTATACAGTTTTAATCTCATTATTAGATAAAACCAAAGTTTCACCTTCTGGTAGACTTATATTTAATAATCCCTTTTATATAAATTTTTTTATAAATAGACGCGTTAAAGCATTGATAAAAGACTGTTCCATCTAGTCTTGCAGTCTTTTATTAGAGTTATTTGCTTCCCAAATTCAGCTGTAACATACTGCTGCAAGATATCGGTTTTTTTTGGTGATTGTCTGAATTATTATTTTCATACCTTTTTGATCACTTTTGACCACAACCTACCTTATTGATCACTAATTTCGATCACTGGACCAACTTACCTCAGTAACATCACATTGGTGATGCCAATTATGACTAGCATCGAGACCAATTTGTTTTTGTCAGAAAAATCTTGTTAGAGTTACTCTCTGAAAAATTGTCTTCTATATCTGATTGTTTGTCTTCGTCGAATTGCTGATCTATTTCTTTTCTATATCCTGTTTTTGATATAGTACTTTAATGGCCAGTTGCACACAATGGGCAAAACATAACTGTTAATTTACAGGTAATATTCCCCCAACTTTTCACAAATCAAGTCTATGTTGTGCAAGCTTTTGTTCTAATAGCTTTATACACTTATCTGCAGATATTTCATACATGCAAATTAATATTTAACGGTTCAATTCAAAATTAATATCAATGGTTACGTAGTGATGTCCATTTATCAAAAGATAAAGAAAATCTTTCTCCTACACTGACATCAGGTTTTTTTTTCCTGTTTATTTCGATAATTAAAAAATTAATTTTATTTTTGCTGTAGTCTACAACTATTTTACACACTGTTTGACTGTTGTGTGCAAACTTTTGAACCATGTAGCTATAAGACCTGCATGTATATCACTAGAGCAGCATATAATGTTGAACAAAATTCAATCAAGAGCTGTCAATTGTGGTGCAAGTGGTGCAGGAACTGATTTTTCTTCTGGCTCTAATATCGGAAAATAGTTGGTTAATGTTTTGATTTTTTTTTTTTGGTAGTTCATCTGGTATGTTTGCTGAAATAGTAGCTAGAGTTTTTTTTATGGACAGAAGTCCATAAAAAAACTCCAATAGGTGGAGTTTTTTTATGGACGGAAAGTAAGTGTGTTTGGAGACCTTTTTTTTTGTTGAGCCACCTCCAATTTTTTAAATCATTTTACAGTCAGAATATTTACACATTGCTGTCTGCCCTTTTTCTTTACGTAAGAAACGTTTCCCAACCGTAGAATTACTTTTTTTGTCATATTTCATGTAAGAAGCCATTATAATTTTAAAAAATTTCAAATAACCAGCAATTTTAATTAAACTAAAACTAGTACTAAAACACAAAAAATAGTCACAAATAAATAATGTTTAATTGGCATAAAAAATTGTAAAAGACTTGAATACATGCGACTAATCACCAACAAATTTTAAGAATGTAATTGCATTCCAATTTTAACTATTATAAGAAATCCAATCCAATTATTCATAAACATAATTACAAGAATTTTGAATTTGTATAGTTCAAATTTGATTGCAATCAAATGAAAAAATAATAATTGAGGAATTTTCAATATGAAAATAGTCAAATCTTAACTGAAGAAATTTTAATTTAAAAATGTTCAGTCAAAAACAATTTTAAAAAAAATCCCTGGATTATATGTTTAATTCCAGGATTTTGGGGTTGTTAAAAACTGTGCAATCCCAGGATTTCGGGGTTGTTAAAAACTGTGCAATCCCAGGATTTCGGGGTTGTTAAAAACAGGATTTTCCCTAGATCTCAAGATTCCCAACCCTAATTTGTAAAAATTCTTTTTTTCTTCATATTATAGAATTTTTCATTATAGTTTAGTATAACTAAACAAACTCTTTAGTAATCTCTTGTTTGGTATAACTTTATTAAATGGCAAATGAGTGCTATAAATCAAAATTAATGAGATATCGTTGGAATACAATTTTTAAGTAAAAGTAAAACTGTAAAACTTGATTTTTATGATTAGATAGTTTTAAGTTTACATAAGTTAGACATTAGCATACACTTTATTTCATATTTTCTTTAAAAAAAGTGCTGCAACTTTTTCTCAACATTAACTCAGGTGTAATGGCTGCCGTGAGTTCTCTGTCAAACACTCACAAATGAGCATTATTTAGTTTAGCAATATTATATATGATTTATAAAAAAGTTATAAATGATTTATAAAAAATTATATATGATTTATAAAAAAGTTATTGTATTTATATTTTAAAAGTTGTATAAAATAAAAGTAGTAATGACTAGCATTAAGTTTGATATTATATAATTTGTTCATCTTAATTTACTGAATTATTCATGTCTTTATGTTATATGTAGGATAGATCATCTTTATGTTTTCATAAAACATGCCCGTAAATGAACTTCTGGGTGCAACAAGCGCTAGTAGATCAACCAAATAAACCAGCACAGTTTTATACTCTCGTAGCCAAACTAGCAAGCGCTATTTGTTGTGCCTAAAAGTTCATTTAAAGGGATCCCAAACTCCCGACACATGTTGTGTTCATATTAAAGATAATGTTAAAAAAAAAGGTTTGAACCAAGTTTTTTTAATTAAAAATAAATAATGAATGCATACCGAGAAAAACTAATGTTGTTGTTTTAGCCAATGCTCACCTTCTCCATTTTTTTCAATAACTCGGAGTCTTTAAATTACAGGTCGCAATCTACGGACTTTAGCGATTCCTTTGAAGCGCGTTTAATTCATAAAAGTTTTAATATTTGACGTCGCGGTAGACTTTTAACAAATGAAACTCTGGAAATATTTTTATATATTTTTATTCAAACTTTTTTTGATTGTTTGTTAAGTTTTTTTTTTCTATTTTTAATATTTAAAAAGATATT